ATATATATATATATATATTAGTTATATATATAGAACACCTCTAGGGTGTGTTTTTTGTAGAAGGAAGAAATAATGGTTTTCAGTGTAATTTTGATCGGAAAGGGCATTTTAATTGAAAAATGCTAAGATTTCTTAGAGAGATGATCCTTTTTTTTGCCTTGATCCGATGCAGCCTTTCAGAGTAGAATATTGGATCATTAAGACTTTCAAGCTCTTGTTCTCTCTCTTTGATTTTCAACCCTTTATAAATGACCATATTTACAATTTTTAGGTACCATTTGATCATTTTAAAGAGTTAACGTTGCGTTTTTTATATCGCAAGTGTACAATATCGTAACAAGTAATATAGTTGACCTTTGAGTCCGGATTATCATTCTCACGAGGACTCTTAACCTACTTTTCCTAACTCCTATTTGATAAAAGACAAACAAATAAAGGATTGTAATAGTTGTGAATATTGATTTTCCAAAATGAACTAAATGCCTAAAACAAATGAAAATTATGATGAAATAACAAAAATAAATGGATCAAAGATTCATGCATGTAAGATATATTAGGGCAAAACAACTTCATCTAATGATCACCTTAATTCCCAATTCAAGATTCTAGTCTAATGTAGTGTTCGGTCAAATTCTTCTACGATATTCAATTTACCCCTCTCAAGTTCTCATTGAACCTATTTAACTAATTCAATTCCATATCTCTATGCGAATTACTCTTAGTTAAACGAGTTATGGTACTAGGAATTCATATAACGACCACAATACTAAGTATAAGTATCTCTACACGTTATACTTCGTTACCGAATTTTATTACANAAATAATAAAACACGGAATTCTTGAATTAGAGAACTAAGTGTCTCAATAGACTACATTATTTGCCCTAATAAGGAATTTAGCTAAATATGATGAAAAATATGAAATAAATAAACATATTCGAATACATCACCGAATTTAATTGATAAAAGAGATGGAAAAAAATCAGCTCTTGTACCAAGATCTTCTTCCGCTTTCAATCCTTAATTTGAACTCAAATCCTTGATGTATTTCTTCTTGCAAATTCCTCTTCGATCTTGTGCTTTTCTCTCAATTTTACAAAGTGTGGAACCCTCTTTTCAATGTGTGGGAACCCCTTTTTCATGTCTCCTTAGGTCTATTTATACTTTCCTATACGTTCTTGGCCAATTTGGAGTCTTTTTGTGGGGGGTTTCGCGGCCCAAACAATAAAAACCTAAAATATGTGGCTCCTGGGCGCTGTGTTACGGCACTTGGGCGCTGAGTTACTGTTCACATTGTGTCTGTTTCAGCATTTTTGTCATAACATTTTCTTTCGATGTCTAATTGAGATGATTCAATGATTTGGAAAGATAATTTACTAGGCCAAAATTGGGTCTCAATCTCCAACTAAAAATTTGAACATCTTTGTGCGGTTGAAAATTGATTTGTTTTCACTCATTTTGATCTTTAGTTGTACCCATTTGACCCCTAGCATTCTCGAATCTTCATCATGAGCTTTGACACAACTTTTGAGTATTTTCACTTTAGCCCCCAAACTTTGGATCTTGTCATTTTTCGTCATTTTTCACTTCTTTTCTCCAATTCTTCATCAAACATAAAGTTTTACATACAAAAATACAATATAACATAAATTAGGTAAAATTTTATCGAAATGACAATAAAATATAATCATTTAGGGTCTCGAATAAGTGTAGAAACTACACTTATCAGTTAACATTCTCTCATCATTATAAACCTTCCGTGCAAAATGTGGTGTAACAAATATAAATTATGGGGAAAATGTAATTATCCTAAAAATAGGCTAAATATATTCACACAATATAATTGTGTACACTAATAAAATTTTGTAAGAAACTCTTCATTAAGGAAGATTTGCTAATTAATGAAATTTTAGAAAGTTAGAATCATAAATATGACTGTGAATAAAGGTTTAAATCCTTTAACGCAATTAAAATTTGATGTATTTATTAAATAATGATGTGGATATAACCATTAACAACCCTGAAATTAAAGCAAACCGTTTCAAAATGGTTTTTATTTAGGTTTAAATTTTCGAAAACTACAAAAATCGAACCGAATCGTTTTTAAAATTTTTTAATCAAAAAATTAATTTTATCAACTCATAAATTTTATAGTTTTAACTTTTCAGAAAAAAAATATCAATTTAGCAATACAAATTACAATCAGTCCATTGAAATAATCATATATAGTAAATTAAGTCCATCATTATTGGCCTATGATTTTGTAAGTTATACAATGCACGTCTTGAACCAATATCTAAACTAAACTAAAATTATTCTCAAATCATATGAAATGAAAAAAAAAACATATATTTTCGACAATCCAAATAATGATTCAACAAAATTACGGCAGCAAATCACGCCCAGAGCTTCAAAAGCCTTAACATAAACTCATTTCTCAAACATTTGACGTTTGTCTGCTACTGCTGAACCGAATGAGATTTCCATGCTAGTCGTTTTTTTCCTGTTAGTCTGCTAATTTTTACCCGAATAACTTCTTTCTCTCTTCTCTCTCGGTACGTCTCAGATTCTAATTCAAGTCATTTCTTTCATTGTTCTTTCTTTCATTTTTCTTTTTGAACTTATTGTACACTTGTGAGTTGTGGTTTGAATTAAAAAAAAAATTTCATTGTTCTTTCTTTCATTTTTCTTTTTGAACTTTTTGTACACTTGTGTGTTGTTGTTTTAATTAAATAAAAAATGACTGTTTGTGTCTGACTGTTTGTGTGTCTAGGTGATTAATGAACTTTTTTGTAATTTGGAAAGAACGAAGGATAGAGTGTACTGATTGTGTAAAAAATATAAGTTTCCTAACTAGTACTATTACCTTCTACTTTTTCAAAGTAGTTGGAGAATGAACTTTTTCAATTCCCAATAAACATTAACTCTATCATTCTTTATACATCTAAACATATCTTGTCCAATCCTTATTTTTCATCTCATTAGCAGGATGGAAGGAGTTTTAACCAAATACAACAGAATGTGGTTCTTCCTTTACCAACCGCTATGTGACGTATGAAAGGCAAATAATAAAACGTAAATAAAAATGAAGAAATATATATTCGTTCTATTAATCTTTTAGCAACCACCTTAAAAATTAATATATTTACGGGTTTCATGGAAAAATGAATGTAATTTAACCTTTAACATTATTAGTTCTCGTTTAAACTTATATGTTAACTTGTCTTAAGAGCTTGTATTTTAGCTAACAAATTTGAAAATAATTTATTCACGGGTGGGAAAGATGAATGTAATTTAACATTTAATATTATTAGGTCTCGTTTAAACTTATATGTTAACTTGTCTTAAGAGCTTGTTTGGAATGGATTAAAATCATATTCAAATTGAAAAACTAGCCATTATTGTTGACTTTTATTAGACGGGTGAGACCCAATAACGACTATATTTTCAATTTTAATTGAATTAAAATATCTCCCAAACAAGCTCTAAATATATTACTATAATGTCAATAAGTAAACCGCGGATTAAAACCGTACCAAACTGCAAATTATGGTTTGGTTCGGTTCGATTCGAAAAGTAAAATGGCTTAGTTTGGTTTTAAAAAAAATCCAAATCGCATGAAATTGTTTTATTTGAAAATATGGCACAAACCATTCAAATCGAACCGCGTTCACCCCTAGTTTAAATGGATGAATTTGACAAGGACAATATCGGAATGTGATGTAAATGAAAATAGTATTTAAAAGAAAAACTTAGTAGGCATAAATTTAGAGTGAGATAAATATTTAAACACGATGAATGTGAATAACGGCTCCCTAAATCAATTATACTTATTAATATGTAAGTTTTCTTCATTTCTCATACCCTTCATGTCCTTTGTCAACTTCCTCGTATCTATCTTCTTCTCTATTCAACTATGCAATTAGGCAAAGAATCACACATGGAATATCTGGGCACATGTAAGTCGCGTTTGAGGTGAATTAAAAAACCTAAATTGATTAAATTTACATGACAATGAGTTCCATCTCAACTCCAATGCCCGCAAAGAGTTCGAGGAACGCTCAAATTCAATTACATTGTATGATTTAAAGTGTAATTTGTAAACCATAATGATTAATATTTCTATGAATAACAATTTCAAATCTTAAACTTTCTAAGTTATTCAATTATTTTAAGTTAATATCTTAGATCCTTGCAATAAATAATTGTATCTTCTTGTATAGAAAACACCACTTATGGATCCGTACGAGTTTGAAATTAACAGGTCGAGTACTTATCTTCTACCTATCATAAATGAATTCACGAAACAAAAAATAATAATTTATTAACGAGAAGTGAAATAAGGGTCCATTTGATTGCAAATGTGGAATTTGGGTGGAAAGAAAATGAATTATAAAGAATTGAATTGCCTAAAATATGTTTTACTGAAAATTGTAATTAATTGTGTTTGATTGATATAATTTTTCACCAGAAAAATTTTGATGTCTATTTGGCTTCATTTTTCATTAAAATTGTCCATTAAAGTGATAATTTTTTTACTATTATGTCTAAAATTTGTTCCAATTGCCAAAAAAAAAATTTTAAATTTTTTTTTAAAAAAAAATTACCATACCAAATACCATTCACTTATTATATTCTACAGTATCCTCTTAGGCAGTCTGATCCTGGTAGAAACAGGAATTAATTACCCATTACAGCTTGGAAATTTTATTATTAACAAATTCGAACATTGTTAAGAGCAGAGGGGTGCTTCTTGTTTAAGTTGTGACATTTTTTAAATTATATTGTTTAAGTTGTGACACATACATTTAAAGAGCTAGAATCGTGAATAAAAGAAATAAATGGTCACACATAGATTATATTGTTCGCCCTAACTATGAATTTATGTACTCATAATAATGAAAGAAAAACAAAAAATATAAAGTTCAAACCGGGTTTTGAAATCTTGGTCATGAAAAAAATTGAATCTTGTACTAAGAATCTTCTTCAACCTCAAAAGTCTTCAAACCATAGCTTTTACTCTTTGATATTGATGATTATGTGTTTTTCTCCCTCAAATTGTGTGAAACTCCCTCAAAAGTGTCAAAAACTTGTATTTATATTCCTCTCCACTTTTGTGCCAAATGTAGAGTTTTTTATGGGCTTCAAAACGGGCCAAAAGCGCCTCCTAAATACACTCGGCGATGCTTCGGCGCTACGTGAGTGGCGTGCGACTCTGTATTATGTGATTTGGTAGCGTCTTTTGCGTGAAAATTTGGATTGCATTTTTTTTAGTATTTTTATCATAACTTTCCCTCCAAATCTCCTATTAAAGCGATTCATATTGAGTTGTAAAGATAACTGAAAGGGATACAACTTTACTAGAAATAATTTGGTTCCAATTTGAACGTTTACTAAGTCAAAAATGGGTCAATCTCGGGCTAAAAATCTGGAACATACTTGTACGGTTGAAAATTGATTTGTAAAAATATTTTGATCACATTAACTTATTTTTTTACTTCTAATTGTATCAAATTGATCCCTAACATTCTTGAATGTTCATCATGGGGTTCGATACAACTTTTAAGTATTTGCACTTTAGTACCCAAATTTTGGATCTTGTTATTTTTTGCTCATTTTTTTTTTAATTTCACCTCCTTTCATCGAGTTTCACCTAATAAACGAAATATACGATAAATTAGGCTATAATTTTTAAAAGAACTATTAAATATCTTTATTTTTAAGTCCAATCTATTCGATTTGGTTTCATTTAAAAAAAAAAAAAAACTGTAACAACATTTTTTTAGCGCAGTTTTTTGTCCTAAGGGAGGATCGAACCTGCAATCATGTGTGGGGAATGCGTTTCCTAGTTCAGCAATTAATCTTTAAATATCAAATTGACAAATATAATATTTGTAACAAATGAAAAGGGTGGTTGAAAATGATATCAATAAATCCATTAAGATTCCTTCATAGATATATAAATTAAGAAACTGAAAACCACACCAAGATTTAATTTTATATAACGTCCAAATTTGTCCATTTTTTTTTATATTTTCTCGAATAACTGTCATATTGTTAGCGGAGTAAACTCGATTGGTTCTATTTGGTACGCACAAAATAAGTAGTTAGAAAAGTTCAAAACACATTGGCCATACTATAGGCTCTTCATAGAAGATGAAGCTTGGTGGTAAGAGACTAACCAACCTATTCGAGGTCCATTCTCCTCTCGAAAACAAGGGCATTTATTTTTAGTCACTTAGGGTCCGTTTAATTGCAGATGTGAAAAATGGGTGGAAAGAAAATGTTTTACAGGGAATTGAATTACCTAAAAATTGTTTTACTGAGAATTGTAATTAATTGTGTTTGATTGGTATAATTTTTCACTTGGAAAATGTTGAAAGATTGATGTCCGTTTGACTACTTTTTTTATGAAAATTGTCCATTAAAATGATAATTTTTTTTCTACCATGAGTCTAGAATTTGTTCCAATTGCCAAAAAAAAAAATTTAGAAAAAAAATTACCATACCGAATACCATTCATTTGATTTTGTTTTGTATGAAAATTGTCAATAAAAATAATAAATTTTTTTTTATCATTGTATCTATAATTTTTTCTCATTGCCAAAAAATAAAAAGATGGTGGAAATTAATTTTCCACAAAATTAAGGAAAATGTGAGAATGTGAGCCAAACCAAAAAAAAATTTCTATGGAAAAAAGTGTATCAAACAAGATAAAAGTGAAAGTTGGAATTTATTTTTCATTTTTCATAGAAAATAATGGCCTATCAAACAGGCCTTAGTATCAAAATCAAAATGACTCCTTATCGCAGTGGTCCGATTCTTTCGATATTGATTATTTTTGTTATATTTTAATAAATGGAAGCTTTCTCTTGAATTATCTTTACAAGATAGATCGTTAATGACACTGATCACCAAATTTGATTTCTCATTTTAAATTTTCGAGCTTCAATATTTAAATTGAGTCTTCCAAATTCCCTCACAAGTGTCAAAATTTACTAAATGGAATTGATTGTGCTATGTGTACACAATCTTTTACACCTCCCTCACATGGAGAGAGACCCATATACAATAAAATATTTGTGGGCTCCTCTCCATGTGAAGGGGGTGTAAAAAATTGTGTACACTAAAAAATTGTGTACGCCACAAGGTGTACACATAGCATTATCCAAATGGAATAGTCAGAACTCTTATTTATTAATTATTATTTTATATTTAACTGCAAATTTTGCCCCTTTTTAACACCTAATCCCCTTTCAATTACTGCAGCTTTTTATATCAATGTATATGCAGGAGTTCATGTCAAAATTCTCAATAGGCACACATTATTTGGTTATATAAATTGAAGTCATCAGTCAATTCCAAGCAGGGCAGATTTTGTATTATTTTAAACAGTCGATGCACATACTGATAACTTCTTTGTAGGATGTAATAGCCTATCGTGGAATTTTTTGGTAGACGTAGCAATTTATTAAAGGAAAGAAAAAGATTTTATATAACCAATTTTAAATCAATTATTGAAAATAAAAATATTAAATTCAAATATTGAAGATTTTTATTTTTCTTTTAGTGCAACATTAGGAGCTATACAAATCATAGCAAAATTTATTATGATTTAAAAGATAAACATCAAAACGGATACAAATCACGACATATATCGAACGACAACCAAACTTGTAACCTGTATCGAGCACCACGACAGAGACGAGGAGCTCGAAAGAGGACTATTTCAGAAAACACTGCTAAACATCATATGACACCTAGTTCAGAAATTTCATATGATCAATCAACTTCCTCGATCTTAGGGCCTGGACCATTGCCACCAGCAGAAGCAGAAGGGCCGTCCTCATCCATGCCTCCAGCCATGTCAGGGCCACCAGCACCACCTTGATACATTTTTGCAATAATTGGGTTGCAAACGCTCTCCACTTCTTTCATCTTGTCTTCAAATTCATCAACTTCAGCTAGTTGATTCCCTTCTAACCATTGAATGGCAGACTCAACAGCGTCCTCAATTTTCTTTTTATCAGCAGCAGGAAGCTTGGAGGCAATCTTCTCATCCTTGATAGTGTTTCTCATATTGTAGGCGTAATTCTCCAATGAATTTTTGGCCTCGACTTTTTTCTTGAGTTCCTCGTCCTCAGCCTTGTATTTCTCGGCATCTTGCACCATCTTTTCGATCTCTTCCTTGGACAGTCTCCCCTTATCATTTGTAATGGTAATCTTATTCTTCTGACCTGTCGTCTTGTCCTCAGCCGAAACATTTAAGATACCATTGGCATCAATATCGAAACAGACATTGATCTGAGGAACACCCCGGGGTGCTGGTGGAATTCCCGAAAGCTCAAATTTCCCGAGCAAATTGTTATCTCTGGTTCGTGTTCTCTCACCTTCGTACACTTGGATCAAGACACCTGGCTGATTGTCCGAATAAGTGGAGAAAACTTGTTCCTTCTTAGTTGGGATTGTTGTATTCCTTGGAATAAGAACTGTCATGACACCTCCTGCAGTCTCCAAACCAAGAGATAAAGGAGTCACGTCCAGTAACAACAAATCTTGAACCTTCTCATTGCCCTCACCACTCAAAATTGCAGCTTGAACAGCCGCGCCATATGCAACAGCCTCATCAGGATTGATGCTCTTGCAGAGTTCCTTTCCATTAAAGAAGTCTTGCAATAACTGTTGTACTTTTGGAATACGAGTAGAGCCACCAACAAGTACAACATCATGGACACTGCTCTTGTCAATCTTAGCATCCCTCAAACACTTCTCAACCGGCTCCATACACTTCCTAAACAAATCCATATTAAGCTCCTCAAATCTAGCACGAGTGATAGTAGTGTAGAAATCAATACCCTCATACAAAGAATCAATCTCAATAGTCGTCTGAGCAGTTGACGAGAGCGTTCTCTTTGCCCTCTCACATGCAGTTCTCAATCTCCTAAGCGCTCTCGGGTTGCCACTAATGTCTTTTTTGTGTTTCCTCCTGAACTCCTGTACAAAGTGATTCACCATCCGATTATCAAAATCCTCTCCTCCAAGATGTGTATCACCAGCCGTCGCCTTCACTTCAAAAATACCCTCTTCAATTGTGAGAAGAGAAACATCAAAAGTACCACCTCCAAGATCAAATATCAACACATTCTTCTCAGAAGAACTGCCAGACTTCTTGTCAAGACCATAAGCAATGGCAGCAGCTGTAGGCTCGTTAATTATACGCATCACATTCAGACCAGAAATAACACCAGCATCCTTTGTCGCCTGACGTTGAGAATCGTTGAAATAGGCCGGTACGGTCACAACAGCATTCTTAACTGTCGATCCAAGATAAGCCTCTGCGATCTCCTTCATCTTAATGAGGACCATAGACGAGATTTCCTCAGCTGAAAATTGCTTCTCCTCACCCTTGTATGTGACAACAATCATAGGTTTGTCACCAGGCCCTGCAATAACCTTGAATGGCCAGTGTTTCATGTCACTCTGAACCGATGGATCACTGAACCTTCTACCAATCAGCCTCTTAGCATCTGTATTTAGGAATGGATATATGTAAGCAACAGAGAATTCGTGAAGCGTACACCCAAAATAAAATAGATATTATGAATTAATGAGCTAATCATTACATTAAATAATTTTTTTACTTATATATTACTTTATAAGTGAAATTTATATTTTTACTTTAGAAGCAATTTTTTTTACAAAAATTAATTTTTTTTTATATGTAATTTTTCACTTACAACTCAATTTTTTAATTATAAAAAAAAATTATGCTCATAAATAGTTTTTTTATTATATTTTAATTAAAGTTAGTATTATATAAAATATATATGAATCAAAAATAAATATTTATTATAAGGAAAAAAATACAAAAGGGTGGTTTCATTATTGAGATATATGTCCCTAATTACACTACACTAATTTTGAATGATTTTCATATCAAAAAAAAAAAAAAAAAAATTTTTTTGAATGATTTTTCTAAATACTAGCCAGCACCAATTTCCCGCCACCCAAACAGGCCCTTAAGACGATCGCACCCAAAATTAACAAAACTGAGTAATTTCCTTTTAACTGTTCGAAATTTCCGGGATGCTGAATTTCTACAATTCAAATTACAGAATGTCCTTTCTAAATTCAGACGTCTCAATTGAAAATTTATTGAATTTTGTGAGATTTTTAATTTAATACACCAGACTAACTCTTTTGAAATTTCAGTTTATTTAATAAAAAATATATAAAAATTTGTGAAAATCTATTCAAATTCAAGAAATTCACTGAAATTTATAATTCATTAAAATCTCAATCAAGTACACCCCTCGATCATTTAGTTTAAAAGGTATTAGAATATGCAAAAAAATTCAAATAACACAGTACTCTTAATGTGTTTATGAAAGGAGAAACAATTGGAAAACTTACCAAATACGGTGTTAACAGGATTCATGGCGACCTGGTTCTTGGCCGCATCTCCGATTAGACGCTCCGTATCAGTAAAAGCCACATAAGACGGCGTCGTTCGATTACCCTGATCATTCGCTATGATCTCAACCCGATCGTGTTGCCAAACACCCACGCAAGAATACGTGGTTCCTAAATCAATTCCAATCGCGGGTCCTTCACCCTTTCCGGCCATTGTTTAAGATAACAAACAGAATCGCAAAAACTCAACAAAAAAACAACTAACAAAAGAGAATTTTTCTTTGAAAAGTTCCGTAAAGCAGTGATTCGATATATCTCAGAGCTACGGAAGATGGGTTGCGAAGGCATTTAAATAGTGTGAGTTAAGCAGGCCTAGATTATTCGTAGGGTAGTCGGTGTGGCCTCCAGCCATTGGATTGGCGACCTTTTTTTGCTTTCTGGGTTCCTCCAGAAATTTCTTGAGGATACGTCTGTTTCCGAAATGCCGAATTTGCATGTTAAGACCTTTAAAATTCAAAATTTTCAAGCAATTTGCACCATTGGCTCTTAAATTATTGTTCTAATAGCAAGTTGGTTCTCAATTTAAAAATAAAAAGTCAACTTTATTCTCTATCTTCCATTATCATATAATTTTATTCCGTGACAGTTATCTTAAAGTTGTGGATATTCTACTTATCAAAAAAAAAAAAGTTGTGGATATTCTAAGTCCTGAAAATTGATTGCGCAAATACACTAAGGCCATGTTTGATAAGCCTAATTTTTCATGGAACTTGAAAAAGAATTTTCTTCTTCTTGATTTTGGTTTGTTTGATAGCATCAATTTTTTAGGGTAAAAGTTTTCCTACCTACTCCGCCTTTTTTCCTACCTTTCTAGTGAAAATGTTTTCTCACCATTGGGAAAACTGTTTTCCAGGTTTCTGATAATTTTTTCTTTTTTTTCATTGGAAACAAATGTTATACCCAATGGTAACAAAAAAATTTCACTTTAATGGATAATTTCCATGTAAATAAAGCCAAACGAACACTAAACTTTGATGAAAAAATGATTTTCTAGGAAACAATTTTTTTCTCCTTTTTTTTTTTACTTTTTGGCAATGGAAACAAATTTTATAACCAACTGTGGAAAAATTTCACTTTCATGGACACTTTCCATGTAAAACAAAACCAAACAAATAAAAAATTTAAAAAAATTTCGGGTGGAAAATTATACCAATCAAACACATTTAATTATCAATTCCCTACAAAATATTTTTTAGGCAATTATTTTTCCTGAAAATCATTTCATTTCCACCCATTTTCCACAATTGCTATCAAACGCACCCTAAGGCTCTGATTGATAAGAAGTTTTCATGAAAGTTGGAAATTATTTTTCATTTTTCACCTTTTAGGTTGTTTGATAGGAAAATTCTTTTAGGCAATTGGTTTTTCAACATATACCTCACGTGACTCTATTTTCCACATTTTCCTTGAATTGGTTTTCCCATGGGTTTGGCGGTTCTAGGCCTTTTTTTTTTTTTTTTGCAATTGAAACAAATTATATTCTTTTAATAAACAATTTCCATTAAAAAAAAGTCAAACGAATATCAAAATATCCAAAATTTCAATATTTTTCAAGTGAAAAATTATACCAATCAAATACAATTAATTGACAAGTTTTAGGCAATTCAATTCCCTGAAATTCATTTTATTTCTACCCAAATTTCATTCTTACAATCAAACAGATCCTAAAAGGTTTATAAATTACTCTTTCTTGGATCAAGAGGTTCTACTAACATTGCCATTTTTTATTTTGACATATAAAGGAATAATACTTAATAGATTGTAAAATCTTTTTGATTATGGATTATTTGGAACTCGTGAATTTCAACATGTGCCTCTTTGTTGTACAAAAATTGAATTTCTTTAATTTTGTCGTGAAAATGAATATGAAAAATCATAATTAAAAAAAAAAAAAAAAAGTTATTACGTAATACATGTCTTATTATGGTGTTAGAATTTGATGGGAGACCATAATCAACCAAGATAACGTGAAATTCCTTAACTTGATATCGCATGTGGCTATTGAACAATGTAGGAAGTGAATAATTCAATTACATTCTGATATCTATAACTCGAGAATGCTTGATTATAAAATTTCAATGAGATGTTGAATTCTACCTATTCCATGGTTTTAACTTTTAGGTAGTATGAAAGAGAGAGTCAAGCACTATAAAGTTGGAGCATGTAGTGTTGAGGTGTAGTGTGCTTCTTCTTTTGGCTCTAATTCTGTGACCTCAATCTTAGTCAACCTTAGATCGATCTTTAAACAGTAGAATCGACTCGTGCCGTTCTATTTTCTTGGCTTGGGTGGGAAATGCACTATTTAGGGTGAGCTCACGTTGTTTGAGGTTTGAGTTGAGTTAATGAGCTTGGCTCGATGACCTTGCCTGCATCGTCATGGCAAGTTGAACTTGATCTTAATTTTGTCCCTCTAATTGGCCATTTATTCGATAACGGTTAATTTTAATTTGTGATGCTTCGAGTCCATGTGCACCCTAGTTCCACATAAACGAGTAACGACACATCAATACGATAGATAACACCGGTCCCCAAGTTTGAGTTTGTACTTTGCGATCTTTCTTGTTAGGAATTCCCTTCTTGAACTCAATATTTTAACGTTTAAGATTTCCATTTCCAAATTATCAATATCTAAGGCCCTGTTTGATTGTGCAAAAATTTTCATAGAAAATGGATAACAAATTTCATCTTCCACTTTAACATTGTTTGATGGCAATTTTTTTTTCTTGGAATTCATTTTCTTAGTTGGCCTCACACGGTGACAATTTCCATGGTTTTAATGAAAATGAATTTTCACCATTTTGGTGGGAAATGGCTCTCTAGGTTGCCTTTTTTTTTTTTTTTTTTTTT